TGAGAGGTGGGGGTTATATCAGGTATAGAGGCTCTCCCACGGCGCGGCAGTGAGAGGTGGGGGTTATATCAGGTATAGAGGCTCTCCCACGGCGCGGCAGTGAGAGGTGGGGGTTATATCAGATATAGAGGCTCTCCCACGGTGCGGCAGTGAGAGGTGGATGTTATATCAGGTATAGAGGCTCTCCCACGGCGCGGCAGTGAAAGGTGGGGGTTATATCGCACACGCCTCCTGTGATGCTGTTCCTGTCCCTGTGAGCTATCTGCGCCTCTTGTGCGCGGTGAGGTGGATGCGGCTGTACGGCCGGGAAACGCGAGTGTGTCTCCAGTGGCCGTTAACCTCTGCCCCCTCCCCACCCCCAGAGTCCCTGGAGAAGTGGGAGCGGCTGACGGTGGCGGATGCGCTGGAGCCCGTGCAGTTTGAGGACGGCGAGAAGATCGTGGTGCAGGGGGAGCCCGGCGATGACTTCTTCATCATCACAGAGGTGCGTTGCTCGCCGAGATGGCCGCCTGTAGCGATTACCCTTCCGGTGCAGTAAGTTCCGTTTGGGTGGGGGAGGGGGCATCATCAGCCCGAGACCCTGCTGGCCCGATGCCAGGCCCCCGACTCCCCCTACCCGCAGCAAGTGGGGGGGGGGTCGCTGTTCCCTCACACACAGCGCTCTTTGTGATGCGTGATGGAGTCTCCCTTGCCTGCGCCGACCTGGGAAATGTCAGCTGCTTTCTTTCGCTCCTGCCGCTCCTCCCGCTTCCTCTCCTCCCGGCCCGGCGAGGCCATCGTCAACAATGACCCCAGTGACTGCCGCACAGCTCCTGGATAGGCTACAATAGGTGCAGCTGGGGGCCGGGGGGGGGGGCATTATCAGCGTGCTGAGTGAAGCTCGGCCATCGCCTGCCTTGGCTCGCAGCCCTCCGTACACCTGCGCCCCGTCACCTCTTCACCCCCCGGTTTTCGGCCAATGCCAGGCCACCCAGGTCACCCCGTCCCTAGGCTCTGTCACCCCACCCGCCCCCTGCCTGGCCCCCACCCTACAGACAGAGTCCTTAACCATGTGACCAAAGTTCTCAAAGGACAGATAGCCTCGAATGACCTCTCTGTAGCGTTTGCATGCCAGGGAGGGGAATCTAATCAAGACCTGCCCATTTTCTGGACTGTCCCGCCCCTGAGGGTGTTCACCAATGGTTGACCCCCCCCCCTTTATTTTGGAAAACAGGACCGTTGCTAAAGGATACTGAGATACAGCACAGTGGTTAGGGACGTGAACTTGGACCTTAGGGTTTTTGGTTCAAGTCCCAGGGGATTTGGGGGGGGGGGGGCTATGAGGGACAGTGGGGGCATTGTGGTGTCATCCAGGCCCCGGGAAGGGGCGTTGTTCTTGGACCCATGTCACCCCCTGTTGCCTAAACACGGGATGACAAATTCCCGTCATTCCCCTCCCTGAGCCTCAGATTTCCCAGAATGGCCGAGGACACTATGGAATGCTTTCGATAGCATTCGCATGGGATCGAGGGAGCCAGGACCTTGGGAACGAGGAAGGGGGCACAACCTGGAACGTACCACTGGGAGGGAGTGCAACCTGGAACGTACCACTGAGAGGGAGTGCAACCTGGAATGTACCACTGGGACAGAGCGCAACCTGGAACGTATAACTGGGACAGAGCGCAACCTGGAATGTACCACTGGCACAGAGCGCAACCTGGAACATACCACTGGAAGGGAGTGCAACCTGGAATGTACCACTGGAAGGGAGTGCAACCTGGAACGTATCACTGGGATTGAGTGCAACCTGGAACGTACCATTGGGACTGAGTGCAACCTGAAATGTACCACTGGTCGGGAGTGTAACTTGGAACGTATCACTGGGAGGCAGCGCAACCTGGAATGTACGACTGGGGCCATTTCGGTGGGCAGGGGCATTTTGCTGTGTTCGCCCCCTCAGACACTATGCCACCGTCTGGTTTTGTATGTCTGTCAGGATAGAACCCCGCGCCCCCGGTTACTAATTACATGCCGCGGACGAGACTGAAATCCTGCATAGAGACATCACTTTCCTTTACAGCCCTGGAAATAGATGCCTAATGAAAAGTGACATGTTTACATTTTTTCTTGTGCTGTACAAACACGTCTCCACAGAGCGGGCAGTCTCAGATCGCTTTCAGAAATACCTCCTCCCAGTGACGGCCTGCCTTTGATCATGCATCTCAAGACGAAAACCGGGAACGCGTGACTGTTAAACACTGTGGGGGGGTACTGATCGAGTTTATTCGAGATTATTAGTTCGATAGGCAACTGCATGTTTCCCTGGCTTGCTGTATGTGCTGCGTCGTCCGGGGGGTGGGGGGGGGGGGCTGTCCCAGCTGGGTTCTGTCACAGCCGGGTTCCGTCACAGCCGGGTTCTGTCACAGCCTGCCAGGGTCTAAGTCTCTCATGATGCCTTGGGGCTACTCTATGGACTCTGGCCTAGCGCTAGAGACACCCAGAACATGCCTGTCCAAAGGTGAGATCCTCCCCTACAAACACACCTGAACCTGAGATGGGTCAGCCCCAACTTCCATTAGGGCATCATTCTTGAAGTGGGGGTCAGCCTCTACCCCCCCCCCCCC